GGGTTAGTGCTCAGAGGTTCTCTGCAATACAAGCGTCGTCATTGGTTTGATCCCGCGCCATAGGCTCACCAAAACTAATACCTCCGTGGTCGGGTAATAGGTTCCTGACATCCTGACATGATTGGAGGGATAACAGTACTTACTTGATATATCAGTAGGCCACCATTAGTCCCTTCTGTACAGACCAGTTACGCATTCAATTACCCCTAACGAAGCTTTATGAAGCGAAATTCATGGCTCATCCCGTAGGCATTAACCAACGTCGAGAGCTTTATCCTTTTAGCTTCCACATACTCAAAAACGCTTTCATATTTGAGGCCATTAGAAACGATAACCCGAGTTGACTTCAATTCACAGTTTACACGGCGAAAATGAAGCGTCCTGCAGCAGCATCACGAAACAAGGTGTCGCTTCCCAAATGTCAAGGATCATAACTATCCCTTCACTTCTTGAAAAAAATATCCCATAACATTTTTCCATTTTTTCCCATAAATATATTTATCAACCTCGTGTAAGCTTATCAAGAAAGAATACATATCCCATAACACATTCGCGACGGTATTTGATATCCCATGACCAGCGCACGGCACGATGCCTAGTTTATGGCTATTAAGGATCTGTTGGTTTTTTGAGAGTGAACCATACCTCTTCGGTAATTAGAGGACTTGAGAGGCTGAGAACACGACAGGATTGCAGAGCTGATCAATCTATATCGCTCTAGAAGTATGGTTTGTGTGCTACTATGTACTACATGGTATTATGGTCCACTATGCCAACACACTGTTCGTAAGGTTTTGAAGCTTGAGTCTATTTCTATAATTTCCACATCCGCCCATTCTGTAAGAAATCTATGATTCCTTATAACGACTAAAATCTAAACAAAAGTCAAGGAGAGTTAAGCTACCGGTGAACAAAGCACTCACGAAAGGCTTTCTCTACATTTCTAAGTGCAGAACAGAACTTCTACCAATTGACGCCCGCCACAACATCGGAGTTGAATAAGCTACCTACTGATTGCGAAAAATGTATGGAAAGGGATCATTGCGCCAAAATAAACCATCAGAAAGGAAATGATCTTAAATAGGGAATAGAGCGGAGACAATGTTTCATCACAAACGACACGTATACAGGTCACATCGTCGCGAATCGTTTAATTTACTTCTAACTGAATCATAATACAAGTTGTATCTTTGGAAAACTTCACAGGTGGAAATTGAGATGTCAAAACGGGAACTTCGATAAATTTACTTCTATTCAAACTCCGACATAATGAGCGCAAACCACTCAAAACATTACTGAGGCGTGGGATAAGGAAGTGTTGGGGAAAGCACCAATGTGCACGCGTGGTATTTTCAAAAGTTTCCTCATGCCTGGGGCGCGTGTAGAGTAGTGGTCGGAGGCGCCGTGCGATACACATGGGATTTATCTCCGCAACCCAGGCCCACTAAGCCTTCTCTCTAACCCGCCAGGGTCGGCAGATTGGTACCAGACTTGGGAAGATAGCAGCAGAGGGTCGATAAATCGGTAGGCCACAGCGAGTCATTTTGAAGGCCAGATATGCATTCAGTCACCTTTAACGATGCTCAATGAAGTCGAATGCATGGCGCATCTCTCGGGAATTGATCAACTCCGAAATCTTTTTTTAACATTTACACATGGCAAATTCAACATTTAAGATGAGAAATGTCGCTGACATCTCTGATATCGACGATCTACTAAAGGCTTTGGTGGAAGCAGATACACGCAATCCCAACTGTTCCAGAGCACCTAAAAAAGTTAGAAAGCCCAATAAGATGGGTAGATGGATGTCGCACGAAACGAATGACAATTAAAGAAATGGCCGTACTGAGATATCGTCGGATCCTCTTCTGTGCAACAAGAAGGTCCAATTTCTTGAACATATTCTGACGTTCGACGATAAACAGACTCTCTAAGACAACCGATCAGCTCAGTAGTTGGATATCCGTAGAACTTCCCGAAATGTGATTTTCCCAAAAAATGGTCACGTTGACCGTTGGATGGTCTGCAGATGGTTGCTTCATTACAGCCTTTCCAATATTGGTGAAATGATTACGGCGTAGAAGAATGCTCGATCTGTAAAAGTTGAACAACCTGGGATAGGAAACTTTGCTTCTTCCACGATACTTGGCAGACTTCTTATTTACCACTACCGAATACCACTTCTTAAAGCATCTCGACGGCTTTGTGTATGAGAAATGACTAAGAAACCAAACTAAGGCGAAAGTGTTTCCTCCGTCGTCTCCAAAACTTCAGAATTCTGTACAGTTAACACAAATAAACTGTTTCTCGTGTGCAAAAACATGCTGATTTTAATGATTCTGACTTCGATTAACAAAATCTATTCTGAGCTCAAACGTACTTCACTCTGAATACAGTTTGAAGCCCTGTACTAATCATTGAACAGCCTAATACTCAAGCAATCTATTTGGAAATATAATACTACTCGCATGTTTTATCCAAGTCATATTTTGCAATCAACAACGAAAAAAACTTATTAAGCTTCTCACCTTACTTAAACTTAGTAATAGTTAGCAAAGAGAGCTACGACACAAGTATGATTGGTAATGTGTGAGTAGTGCACACCGATGTGTGGCAATATGAAAATGAACCTCTCTCATTAATAAACAAGGTGGAAATGATATAAGCTGAAGAATAAAGTTCCTATGTTCTTCGTAAAAGAAAAATTACTTGCGTTGCAAAATTAGAGTATTCTAGTACTTATCACCTTCTGGATAATCAGATTGGAAAAAAAACGATAAGTGGGTTACAACCACTTCATTTTCCAAATAAAACATTGTACTCATTCCACATATTCGGCACATATAGATAAAGCTGTAAACATGCAGAAACATGAATTTAGAAATGAACCCACCCTTCCACTAGCCCGAAGTCGACGAAAATTTTGTCCCATATTCTCACTAGAAAGGTGCCTTATATTCCATCGCTCGTGTAGCAACGCATTTTCTTAGGAAAAGAACGGGCAGCAAATAAAGAAGATTCAAATGGAATTCTTTTGGCACTACTGCTATATTTCTCTTCTGTAAGCTTAAGCCTTCCTAAGTCCTTAAAAATCATAACAGATTGGTATTCAATTTTCATAACTGACCTTCCAATTATATACCAATCAATATTCTCTTATTTGTTGTGGAAAAGCAACTACAAGAAACTTCGCGACCAACGTGAAATTTGTACACGGAAGTATATGTTACACGGATGCGATAATTTAATCCAGAATCGTTTCCTAGAAATTCCAGCCACTGCAACTACTGTTCCAAGAAATGCTGTTACTCCGATTTCTAAAGGTTAAAGGGCAAAGCTAGCATTCAACTCCAATAAGCATTGTTGCAGGTAACTGAATACATGTCTGACCTTTAAAATTAGTTGCGACGATGTACCGATTCATCGAGCTAGAGCTACCGTCCTCCTAGACTAGTTTGGTATTAAATTTCAGACCCCACAGGAATGGACGGCTTCGTCTGCCATCGGCGAGGGGGTCGATCCCATGTGCATTGCAGGGCGCACCCCAACAACTACGCTACATGCGTCCATACTCTGATCTCTCTCGAAATAACCATGGAAATCTATTAGAAGAAGAAAGAAAGTGAACGAACGAATTCCGTGAGATAGAAATTTACATCTGGGAAATGTCACAGAAGGTAAATTAGGCCGTTATAAACAGGATTAACAACAAGTGGAATTCGAAACAAATACATAATAAGCCTACAAATATTGAATAAAAGATAATTTGGACAGCTACGTCTAATTAAAAATAAGCCGAGAGAACAAAAGAGAAAGGACAAGCCAGAAAACAACATTTGAAAAACTTGTAAACTTTATTTCCCCTCGTCACAGACACCCTAAGTACTGATCAAATCCAACCAGACAAACAATATTCAAAGTCAGAGAGGAAAATCCGATACTTTATGTACACAATTTATATGATACGATTGCGATATTTTAAAGAAATATGGTGCAAATTTGATGCCAAATAGGTTTTAGTGCTCATAAAAGTCCTTTCTTAACTAGTCAATAATATTCTATATATTTACAGATACTTAGGACGTAGAGGACATACAACAATGAATGACAATAAACTTACATGATGTTGATTGGAAAAAGAACTTCTATAGTGCATCGGAACACAAAACCTAAACTAAGAGTTTTCTTTAAACCTGGACAGTATTTTAGTGGTAATTGTAAGCAAACCGTGGCCTGCCATTCGTACGAGAGCTATATTTTCACAACATCTTAACAAATACTTAGTAATACCATATCAGATTATTAAAAGTATAGATGGCGACCGCCCATGTACTTTGCTGAGAATTAAGTGAAATAGAACTTTATTTGTTAGCGAACCCAGCAGCTAACATATAGATGCAATTATATGCAATTATGAAATTTCACCTATACATTTAAACCAAAAGAAAGCACAACGACACCTAGAAGAGTAAAGAAAAGGTAAGAAAAAAGACGAGTTTTGGTCCTATTTAAGCACATTTTTTAAAAATCAGTGAAACCGAAAGCGAGGATTATTAGCATCACAGTTTGAAATCGAAAGGAACAGCGACAAATCACAATGTTTGCTAGAATCTCTCGATCGAAATAAAATAATTGTAAATGGATACATATTCCTATAATTTCGCTACATAGACATTTCGATAGAGACTAAGACATTTTCTGAAACATAGACAAGCTCTAATTTAAATCGAGAATCCAACAATCCCACTGATCGGTGTTACGATTTTTTGAAAAAAAAGTCTAATCTTACGAATTCCTTTGACCGAAAACAATTCACAAAACATAAGAGAAACTGTAACATGAACAGTCAAACAATTACAAAAAAATTGCAATTACTCTTTCTCTCATCAAACTGCCACAAATCAATAACCCAAAAAGCTTATCTAAGAAGCAAAAGAAAAGAAAGTGATCATTCGAAAAGTCGAAATCGACATAAAGGCGAGATATATTTCAAATGAAACCTACAGAGCCTCACTCTTCCCCTTGGTAGCCTCATTCAAATCTTCTATCAAGCCAATCCTGGCAGATCTTGCTTCTTCTCTAGCAATGGTTCGGTAATCAGCATGCATATCCTTCAGACTGATGGCTTGTTCACGTTCTCGCCACTTTTTCTTATTATATTTCGGGTTTACCATTCTATAAATATGCAAGAAAGATCAAAAACGAAGAAATTCTTTTTGAAACTCCCAAAAAGGAAGAAATAGGTAGTAACAGGTAGCAAATGTTGCATAAAGTTTACGAAATGTGTACGGTAGCATCCAAAACTTGCTACGAAGTAAGATTGGACAAATATCTTGGAAAATTCTAACAAATATCCTGCACTGTCAACATTTGCCAAGTCATATAAATAGTAGAAATGTGTGCTTGCTTAAAACGATCGGTAACAATATTTAAACGCTATTTAAATCACGTTTCATGTAATTCCACCTTTCATGAGTGGAACAAGAAAAGGAAAGGAAAGCAAATAAACTAATAACTTTGATATGTTCGTTATACTCATGTAATTCCAATCCCATACCACATAATCTGTTTATAAGCCCTCGTCCAATTACAGATTTTACTTGCCACAAGGGTAAAACAGGGGGACGAACTAAGGTAACAGAAAATCGTGGAGTTGAGGAAATACTAAGATGTGTATTATCAATCCCATTTCCTGTGTTCTCATTAACAAAAGCTAAAAAATAAAGATCAAAGTGACCAAAGAAAGAGATCACAATTTGGAGCCAGCAAGTAGAAAAACTAATATTTAGTCATTAACAGTTGAGTCCACCGATACTCGAAAATAACGATGTTGTTCAGTGGTAGGGTAGCGGTTGGCTTAGCGAATATAACATATTGTGGCACATGTTATTATACCATTTAGGCAATAAGCGACCATTTTTCACGTTGTTTTGACTAAATGGTCATGAACAAATGGAAGAAAAATTAATTACAGAAGTAAGAATTCCAGATCTGATTCCACCAATTTCTACATGGAAAAGAACTATGTAACGAACTTACTTAAGGGTTTCCTCAAACTCCTGTCGACTTAACTCTTCCATGTCCAATCCACTGTCATCAATAAAATCTTCCATTTCGCTATCATATTCATCATCGTCATATTCTTCTTCATGAAAGCTATCATAGTCATACGCTCGAGTGTACGAATTATGCCGATGTTCACTTCTTCTGTCACGTTCAAAACTCTTGCGATGACGACTTAAATCTCGTTCACGTGTTCGTTCACGGTGATTACTAGTTGGATAGCTAAAGCAACTGGATTGGCAGAAGCAAACGCGTGGTTCTCCAAAGAAAAAAAAACTAAAGTACTTACAATGAAGTAAGACGTAGAAACCTACTGTTTCAAGCTCCCGTCAATCCTACTAGGGCTACGATGTTCTCCTCTTGCAAATTGTGAAATACTCTTCCTTCGATCAAGTTCAATCTCTTTTCCTATAGCGACGCTTTTGTTAGATTCGATACGAAAAGCTTGAGATGCAAGTGACATCTTCTTCGAAGAGCTTGGTTGATCTTAAGAAATTTATGCGGTTACATTGAGGTGTGTATACTCCATATATTTACACAACACCGTATATATCCAAGGAACTGAGAAACACGAAAATTCAAGCAGATGCCAGGTATCACTGTTTACATAATGACTGTCGCTGAAGTCAGTAAATCACTACACTTCACCGTTTTTCCGAAGCGGTTTCTGACAAATCCCCTTCATATTAGGCATTTCTAACCACCTACTTGCAAGCTCACTTGGCGGACCTCTGGGTGAGGAATTTGTGAACTGATGAGGACCAAACAAAACCAAAAATTTGGTCTAAGATGAAGACAGGTACGGTAGATAGGTTTACTGTGGGTGTGAAACACCGTTTTAAACTTTTACATAGGTCACAATATATAATTCTTGCATAAAACAATTTGATGGCTAGATATAAATGTGGAACTATACTTAGTCATACTGACCAAGAGTATACATGGGTGGATAACCTTGAAACTTGAGAAAGGTATATTCTGCTGGCACTTGACAAGGTGATAAGAATAAACGGCAACTTTCTTGTCACATACTCGAGTCTCTCTTGCATAACATAATTTCGAGCAGCATAGGCGGTTATACATATCTTTCTTTTTCTCATTAGCATTTCAACCTAAGTAAACCTCAATTAAAGCGTCAGCAAAATTACCTCTAGTGGTGTTAGTAGACCCACAAGACTGCTTCGCCATTTCTATAGCTTGCTTGTATCTGATGTCTCCAGGGAGGTACCTTAAAACAGGATCTGGACGTCAACTCAACGAAAAGTGGATGTAGAGTTAAAAATGAACATGGCAAAATTAGACTAATGCTAGCGTAAAGGGAGCAGAATGTAATTTTGACCGCACCTGTAGTGGAAAAAAGAAGTAATTGTGAGGAAGAATCTATAAAATCATTGTCAGATAGTTGTACTCGGCTTTGTATTTAACAAGCATGCAATGTCTCTACCGCAGCCGAATAATACGATGGATTTTATTTTTGTCTACTTAAATAATCCGACTGCATACATCTGCTCGGATCCGTCACCTAAGGAGGTGTTCTTCACCAATACTGATGAATTCTAGTCAAGAAGATTCTTCTTGGAATCTTAAGCGCTAGCACGCTCCCTGATCTCCATAACATGCACTTAGCAGCCTTGGTAAATCGGATGGAGCTCTTCCGGAACAGGCTTGGTACACATCTGCCAAACGCGTAGTGGTTGGAGAATTCTTCCGCTTTAAGCGGCGTTCCACTAGTCATCTTGCTTGTACTACGCTCAGAAAACTCTATCCACTGCGCTTTTTGCACCTACACAACATGAGTGAAAAAGTGAAAAAGTAAGAAGAGCTGACAAAATTCGTTGCAAACTTTCGTTAAAGCCTCGATATTCAGCTGAACGATTTCGTTATAACTCTCCATGTAACAAAAAGAAAAAATCACAACAGGCGTAATGTACGAACACGACATGCCCAAACTGAAATAAAGGTGAAGGCTTAGGTGCATAATTGTAAAGAAGAAACTACAATTTAAATAACATACATTGCAGAAATACAAAAGCAGAACAGGATAAAGGTCCTTGCAAGGTGGAATTGGACACTAAAATATGAAAGCAATTCTTTGGAGCTAACCTTTTTCCAGGAACGGGTGGAGGAATAAGGGGAGGTGGAGTTACTCCCTTTCTAGCACGACGACTGTCACTAAAATTATACTAATCGGAAATAAATTTGTACCAGGCAGCATCTTTTACACAACTAAGTGAAACTATAATTTCAAATATCAGATCTGAAAACAAATCTTACTCTTTCCTCCCTTTCTTCACATTCAGATCATCTTGTGGTTTCTCAACTGGTTTTGAAGTCGATGAAAACGATTTTGCAGTAACTGAAGTTGACAAACGAAGGCCATTTTCAGGTTTTTTGGTGGAACCCGGTGGGAACAAAGGTATTGCACTAGACTCCTTAGGCATCCTAAATAAATGAACATTCTATTCATATATGTAAATATACGCGTCTATGAAGTTGGAAAAAAATAGTGAAACCTCTAAAGAAAACGCTGAACTGCGACATCACTGGCCAAAAAAAACTTATTTGAGCTCAGAACGTAAGTATTTTTGATACAATGATACAATCTTACTCACTGCAATTGTACACAATTTCGAACTTCTGGAAACCAGAAATTTTTTAAAGCCATTTTCAGAAGCGGTTTGGGAGTCGAATATTTTTTCGTGATAGTTGAATGAGTATGCATGAAAAGGCGTTCATCAAATCGCTCAACTTTCCCAACATTAGTTGTCGCATTGTTTTGCAAGTGATTTTCTAGAATCGTAAATTGTAATTATCTCTTACATTCCATTGATTTCATGAATGCAACTTCGTGTTGTAAATATTTCGCACAAATTCAGAACATTATGGTGGATTGACTCGACCGCAGAGCAAGAACTCTTTACCTTCCTCCATGAAAAATTCCTTTACTCCGCAATGATCCAAACTGTGTTGTAACCACAATGAATTGGCCAATAGAAAGATAAAGCAAGAGCCTCGGTGGGGCAGTGGATAACATATGAGCCTTGGAAAGGGTGATCGCGGGCTTGAAGCTGCCCTAGGGTTCGGAGTTTTGCAAATATCTCAACATCATTGTAGTAGCATCTCATATAATACTCTACCACGAAAAAATAATAGACAATGAATAAAAATTAGAACACTGCGTGGCAGCCATTTGTAGAGCTCAGGTCACGAATAGTTGCTGCAGAGTTCTTTACACAAACCAATGAATGGTTCTAAGGTGCAAGCTTCAATTACTGCCATCAGATGATTCCCATCGGAGGTCATACGCGACCTGATCCCGTACGTTCGCATCGATTTTTGATGTGCGATGGTGCAGTCGTCAACCACATGCGACTATAATCAGCTGTTCTAAACTTCCTCATTGGAAGTCACGAAAAAAGCGGTGGGTTTTTCGAGAAGTTGTTGATCGTGTAATTACCAAAGAGTTTTTCGTCTTTGTGTAAGTGTTATTGAAGCGTTTGGCCTAGTAGATTGTATATCAGTATACCCTTCCAGGCTCTGAAGAAGGCGATACTGCCGAAACGTCAGCTAGCGTTGTATTGTATTGTGTTTTTATGGAAGTAAATGTATGCTGTTTAAAAACCTCGCGATTGCTGGACAAGAAAACGACACATTCCCATCAACTGCAGATGAACGCGAACAGCTTTCCTTCGTCATCAAAACCCATCACCTGTCACCTGTATAACCTGTGGTCCCGATGATCGCCGAGCGACTCTAGCGGGCGACAGTTAATCTTCCATTTTTGCCTGTCGCGTGCAAGAGTAGCTCAGTGGGTTCTGCTCGCTCTAGGCACTCTTCGAGCACCATATACTTCTTCTACGCTCTTTGTGAAAAACTCTAACCACTCGGGTCGGTGGTCTTCCTGCAGTACGTTTGACATCCCGAGAAACCCAGTCACCAACGGCTCTTGTCCATCGGTTATCATTCATTCGCATCAGGTGTCCGGCTCACTTCGTGTTCGACTGTTTGGTGTACAGAACGGTATCTTTGATTTTTTCTCGTTGACGCAGGTCGGAACTTCGGATCCCATCCCTTACTTGTGTGCAACGAGGTACTACTAGCATCGTCCTTT